GAGTATCAGAGCAGCGCCGGGCGACCACGTGAGATCAATGTAGTAATTATGAGTGCATGAAGTATGATTTTTACATTTCTGGATCATTTCAGATTAAAATATTGTGTGTTTTGGAGCTTGATACTTAAAAATCTGAGGTCGAACTGTCACAAATCTACAAGCGAATTCATTTCAAGCTAATTTTGAAAGGACTACAAAATTAGCCATACTGAGAAATGTTAAGATTTGAGATTTTAAACAAGTATGATTGATAAAAGTACTTTAAAAATTCTTGCGTTTCTACGGATATACACACCTTTAATATACACACCAACACTATATGCAACTTCTTATGTTTATTCAAATTCTTGCTAACATTTTTAAGAAAGAAAATTTTACATTAAAACTATCAGATCAAAAATTAAGGAGATATGAGCTTGTCCACTTTCAGAAAACAGTGCATGGACCATTTGATCCAAACTTGCCAGAAGAGATCACATCAAAAACTCCCTAAAATCTTTTGTCAAATTCGAAAAACATATTGAAAATTGCAAAGAGGAAATTCACCGCAAAATTGAACATTGAAAAACATTATGAAATGATTTGAGATTCGAAAAAAAGTGATACTGACTGGTCAGCTTGCCCACTTTCAGAAAACAAAATTGCATGCTACTATTTGATCCAAACTCGCCAGCATCGATCGAAACAAAAACAAAAATCCTTTCTCAAATTCAAAAAACATATAGAAAATTGCAAGAAAGAGATTTATCACAAAACATTACAAATTTATTTCAAATCAAAAATAAGCGTGATTGATCAGCTCAAAAAAGAAAAGTACATGCTGCCATTTGACCCAAACTCGCCAGTAGCTATCGCCTCAAAAACTCCCCAAAATCTTTCTTCAAATTCAAAAAACATACTGAAAAACGGAAAAAAAAAAAATCACCATAAATTTGAGCACTGAAAAACATTGCAGAAGTGTGATTGATTGATATTTGACACCGATCCCTAACACCAATCGGATCAACAACTCCTCAAAACCTTTTCTCAAATTCAAGAAATATATTGAAAAATGCAAAGAAATTCACCACAAATTTGAATATCGAAAAACATTACAAAATGATTTGAGCTTCAAAATAAGTGTGATTGACTGATATCGGAAAACAAAACTGCATGTGACCACTTGCGAGCATCGATTGCATCAAAAACTCTCTAAAACCTTTAATCAAATTCAAGAAACATATTGAAAAACGCAAAGAAATTCATCAAAGAAATTTAACACAAGTCAGAATAAGCGTGATTGACTGACGTTTGACGCTGACCACCAACACCGAACGCCTTCCCAAACTCCCTGAAACCTCACAAATTCCGAAAAACATTTTGAAATTACCACACCTGCTTTCTCCCCTCGCATCCCCTTCCCCGCTATCACCCGGTACACCGCTACAGAACGCCACCAGCGCGGGGGGGGAGGGGTGCTTTCACAATGACTGCACATATCAATTAATGGCTGGATGATGAGCGGAGCTGGCCCTGATCTGGCCTGCCCACCGCCGCCCGGGTCCCAGAGGAGAGGGGAGCACTGGCCCTCGCACAGGCAGTACAGCTGGAGCCCCTCGCCCCTATAATTACATGAGAAGAAGATCAGCCACCACCAGCCACAGTCAAAACCAAACCTACTGCTTACGTACTCCATGCATGTGTGTTTTACAACGATGTGACGGATTGACGTGCTGACAAGTTGTGTTTCAGATATTAAAAATGAGAAAGAACTTGAAATAACAGACTCTGAAACGCATAAACTATCACATTTTGCGTTGAGCTACGTATCGTAAGGTTCCATTCCTATTGAAAATCATATAAGAATCCACACAAGAGCAGCCAATGTATGATTTTTTTATGCGTAAATTTGAAGTTAAAATCATGAGCAACATAAAGTTCTATTGCTGCAAATTCCTATTGAAAATCATATATTATTTTGCCCTATTCAAAGTGTTTTTAAAATGCAAATTCCTATATGTTGATTTCTTATATCCAGATTTAAACTTAAAAATGATATGAGCACCCTAAGGTTCTATTTCTGCAAATTCCAAATGAAAATCATATACGTTTTTTTCGTGAATCCTCCTCAGTGTTTAAAAAATGCCAGTTTCTGTACACTTACGCTGCATGATGAAAATATCTATGACGATTTCTTAAGTTAAAATGATATAAGTTCGTCAACTTCTTACGCACATAAGGTTCTCCTGCTGCAAATCCCAACTGAAACTGAACACACTTTTCGAAGCTTTAAGAATTCACACGAGAATCATAAGCAGCCAGAGTTTCAAAACGACACTTTCAATGCATATATATGTTTGTTTTGATGAAAATGTATCTGATTTCTCATTTCCAAATTAAAAAGTTAAAAAGTTAAAATGATGTAACCAACTAGTGAATGAAATCACACGGAGCTTGCTGCAAATCCCAATACTTTTCCCACCCTTTGAGAATTCACACGAGGATCACCAGCAGCCACTGTGTTTCAGAATGCCAGTTTCAATTCAAATATATATCTTTGTTTAGAAGAAAATGTGTAAACCCAAATTGGTCACTGCTACAACTGTTCAGAACGTTGCTTTATTATATGTACACACTCAGAAATGTCTCTCTTTCCTCCCTAAACAAAAAAATATATGAACCACGCACAATAAAGCTTATCGCCAGCTTCAACATACATTCAATATTGTCCATTATTCTTTGCAATGTGAAATAACCACTTTTCTAACACACATAGTCCCTTTGATAAGATTTCTGTACAATCCGATCTCTCCGCGATCTCAAGTTACGTTATAAATATGACATATAAAACAACACTCATTTGGGTTAAGTTGCCTCATCTAATCCCTCCCTTTTAGTTCTGATCTCCGCACCCGCCACAGCGAATCTCCATCCTATTCCAACACGCCACACAGATCTTTAATTCGCCTAAAATGTCTTTCTTCACTTTTCAAAATACACCTCGATTCAAAATAATTCCACCTGTAGTCTGTTTGACAAGGCATCACAACAAATTGACAGACAGCTAACTGAGTTGATGCCATGTTTTGACTCTCCTCTCCCTCTCCTCCTTTGCTTTCCTTTCCTCTTCTCCTCTCCTCTCCTCATCACTCGCTTCTTTCTATTCTATTCCATTCCATTCTGTCTGTCTTTTTTCAGTCCGGGTGAAGACGTGTATTGGCGTAGTCAGTCACGGCCCGCACAGGTGGTAGATCAGCTAATATAGCCCAGTTATGGAAAATGTGATCTCAAAATCTCACTGCTGCTGCTTTCCAAATAAAAGCATCTCAAACTCGCAATCACGCTCGTCTATTGGTGGTTGACAAAATTAATACATTATAATTAATACATGGGGAATTTATGGAGACAATAAATTCTGTGATAATTAGTGAGTGGCATCTCATATTCAAACCTGACAAATAGCATGCACCGAAATGAAAAGTTGGCCTAATTTATGCTCTTACATTTTCCAAAAAAAAAAAAAAAAAAAGAAGACACTGAAGGCCTGCTAAAATTCACTAAACATATGATACTGGGAATACTTGTGCTGCTTTCCAAAAATTATCATCGCTAAAGAATGACAACATTTGCAAGTTGTAGCAGTGTATATAGTGGAAGGGCGCAAAGTCTTTTCTGTGAGTGAACCAGAGACACTTATCTGTCTATTACCGTTTCATCTGCAATAAGGCAATAAGAGACGTTGACAAAAACGGGTTCACGCCCAGACAATATTTCAGACATAATATCCGCTCTGTGCATACCATCAAACAATGACAGCAACTTCTTTTATTTATCTATAACTGAACGCGTAATGAATCTGAGGAAGAGGAGCTGTTTTCTTAATCCTCGTTTTGGATTTTAGGAAACCGCGCGCAGTGAACGTTGTTGTAGTGGTGTTTTGGGGAAGGATGACACTCGTGACAGCGGTTGTACGCGGGTCTAAGTGGCCGTGTGAGCCGGGTCAGAGCACCCAGGGGTCAAGACTGTAAGGAAAGGTCCTCCCCACCCAAGGCGCGCGACTCACACACAGGCTGCAAATGGGATTACAAGCCTCGTATCGCTAATGATTCAATACGGGAACGGCGTGCGGGGATGGTTCAAGTCGTAACCCGGGGTGGAGAGTAGATAGAGAGCGTTGGAAAAGGGGGAAAAGCGAGTTGGAAGTAGAAAGTTTTTCGGGGGTAAAACAGAACAAGTGCACCGACTCGTCTCTCGTACACACACTCGGGGAAAGATGATTACGCGCATCGTCATTTTATATTTCCAGACAGTTACGCGTGACATAAATCAGCACAAGTTTCTCCCAGGGCTGCTTACAACATTAAAGTCACGTTAGAATAGTAGTTCTACGCAAAAACGAGCCGAATTGAGGCTTCTCCGTACGCGACAAGTCCGCTATATGTCTACATGTCACTCCTCAAAGCATAATGCAGAGGCAGCTTATTCATAACAGGGGTCGATCACTGCACAAAATGGCAGGTCTCACCGACTCGTCCTCGTCTCTTTCTACGCATCTCCCAAGTTTTGACACACACGCGACTCCTAAACTTTCCCCCTATCCTCCGGGAAGTCGGTGCCAAGTGGTAGTTTTAAATGTAGAAAGTTTTCAAAAGCAAACTTCGCTTCACTTTCCTTTACGGTTAGTGTGCGAGAGCTGTTCCCGACTTGGCTTTTACGCACGGAGTCAAACAAACGTGTTAATAATTGCGCCTGGAATTAAAGCGTGCATACGGGGGTTTTTAATGCAAAAGCGGTCCAGACCAGGTCGCGCTCCCAGCTGCTGTTTAGACGTTGTTTTTGACGCTCGGCAGACACACGCTACGGATAATTGCACTGTTATTTTCTAATCATGATTGGGGAGACATGTAGAGCCCCCGCTGCGAAAGCTCCTTTCGGCACAAACAAGCCAGCAAAACTCACTTTCCACGCAGTGTATCCTCTAACATCCAGAGTTGATCCGAACTATCACTACTTCTTCTTACCTTGTTTCAAAAATTGGCGAGGTGCCGGTTAAGTCCTGTGCGTCAGGGCTGCGTTGCGAGTGTCCTTTGAATAATGAAGCATGTCCATATGATTTGAGCGGATCATATTGTTGCCGGATGACGGGAGGGGTGTTGAAAAGTGCGCTTCGGACCTGTTCCTATTCCGACAGAGTCCACTCCTCGAGGCTGTCCCTACAACTGCTCCCCGCCGCGCATCTCCACTTCTCTCACACGCTCGCCTTCACTTCCCCCCTTCTACCCCTTCTCCCTGTCGCTGGCTGGCTGTCCGCTAAAAGGTAAACGTTTGCATTGATCGCCCCGGTTACGCATCAGCGGTAGCAGTGTACACCCCACTCGTCTCCGGGTCTGTTCTGGCTGCTCCGAACGCGCTACACTGAGGGGAGCTTGCCGGAGCTTGGATGTACCCTACACAGCCCGGGCTCTTGCGGTATTCGCCTCTCTCTGAGTCCGGGGTGAAAAGCAGCTGATGAGCCCCAGCGGTGAGCAGCCTCGTGCCGCGGGATAACCTCCGTGTCTCCGCGCTCTCGGAGGAAAAACGAGCATTTCTTTAAACACCTTTTGTTGTTTTCTGACCTTGAAGTGACTATTGACACTCTTTTATTTTAATACGTGCCCCGTTACCAAAGCAATCACTGCCTCTTCGCTCGTGCACCGCGCGTAAGGAAATCAGCCCACTTCTCCTTTGATACAAAACGGCAGCACATGTCACAAAAGCACTCCAAAAAAGTCCAAAAGCTTACCTTTAAAGTCAACTGTTCGCAGCGAGGGTCCTCTTCTCCTCGTCTTTAAAAAACTCCAGGATAAATGTGTGTTGCCTCGTGCGCGTCCTGAGCGTCAGTCAGCGCTTAAGAGAAGTAATGAGTGATCAAAATGACGCTCATCTATCTGCACTGTAACCTTGTGGCGTATTTAATGTAAATAAGCCCCGTTGTGTTGCCGATCCCCGCGCATACAAACGCACAAGCGCTCACAGGGGACTCGCTTTTGCCTTTTTTCCACAATGTATTACCGATTTATTCCTTTGCCTCGGAGCGCATTATAAAAAGAGAATAATTATTTGCGAATGAGATATATCAATAATGCTACACACCTCTCTGAAGATTGTTTAGAGCGCGCGCTAAAGGAGGCAGCAGGAGAGGTTGCTTTATGGGTTTTGTGGTTATTTCCAGCTGCACGAGCTCTGAACTTGAAGTTGGCACAACTTTTGTGGAGCGTAAAAAGAGACACACACACACGTCCCGCACAGGCCGGACGGAGGGTGCTACTAAAATGCCTCTTGTCCGATGGTTTTGTTATATTATGCTTCTATAGGGGGTGGAAGAGACTGAATAATGCAATTATAGATTCAGTGTCCCAGCCTTGACAAAAGACAGGGCTTCAATGGGGGCTTTGTTATAGGATTATATAATGATTATGGGGTAATTATGGGAACGGTTTGGTCATAATAAAAAAGTATCAAGTGGTCCCTTGCACGGGTAACTTGTTTGCTATAATGTAAGAGCAGGAGGAGAGGATGAGACTGACAGACAGGCAGGGGAACAGGCCGGGGGACAGAGGGGGCAAAAGCGCTGCTGCTGACAGCTAGTGGCACGATGACGGCAAACAGCCCTGCGATTATTCCAAATGTCGAAGCGCGAGAGAGGCGCATTAATGCCACTCACTGAGATGTGTATCAAATGCCCCGAGAACCGGACATGGGCCCACAATGGAATATCTCGGGGTCATATTCATAACACCCCCCACCACACACACGCACACGCGCGCGCACACACGCACGCACACGCACGCCCGGTCCTCTCCTCCTCCCTTTCTCTCATCTCTCTCTCTCTCTCCTCCTTCTACACACACACGCGCGCACACACACACACCAGTCCCTTGCACTTGCCACTTGTGCCATGCTGTATGTGTCAGAGGAGGAGGAGAAGAGAGGGAGGGAGGGGCGAAGGAGGAGGGAGGGATGCATGGAGGAAGGGAGGAAGGAGGGAGGGGGCACTGGTCACTGTCTGACACCGAGCACATGACACTCCATCTGGGGCTCAAGAGTGTCTGCACCTTGCGCCACGGTACAACCGGACCGTATTTACATCAATACACCAACACGTTAGATCAAATACTCAGGTTTTGTTGTTTTGTTTAAATAACTGCATTTCAGATTTTGATGCTTCTATGATAAAAAGTACACCTTTAATCATTTAACCTCTTATATATTGCTGAGATATATTTTTTTGTATTATTATGTTTCTATATTTTATTTCTACTTGTACATATACTTTTATTTATTCAACACCAGTCTCTTGTTATTTTTGCTATTTATTTAAGATGTATTATTATAATTTAGATTTTCTCTTTGTTATTATATTATACCGTGAAGTGTAAGTACTGTGTTCAAATAATTTCCCTTGTGCATCAATAAAGTTTGTCTAAGTCTAAGCGTACACAACTATACTACACACATTGTCTTATTGTGTTATAAAAATAAAATTAACGTATGTTTTCTGTAACATTATCCCTCTTTCAACGTTTTTACTTCCATATTTTGTAAAGATTTAATTAGATAAAGGTAATATGGCGCACTGGGTGGTCTCAACACTGTATCTTGAAAATGCCAGACGTAATCACTGCTTTGTTGTAACTGCATGTAGCCTACGCAAATGGCTTCCTTCTGAATTTATGTATTTCTTTCTTTTCTTTTTTTTTTTTTTTTTTTGACGAAAAAAAAAATAAATATATATATATATATATACAAAAATATATTTTTAAAAATGTAACTTAAAATATATATGAAGATTTCTATTTAATCACCTTAAAACTATGTATTAAAAAAAGGTTTATTTAATATTATACTGGTAAAAGTCACTCCAAGTTCTAATCAGATATTATAGAGTTCATCAGTTCAACACGTCATCGTAGTAGTATCTTAGTAGTAGTAGTAGTAGTAGTAGTAGTAGTAGTAGTAGTAGTAGTAGTAGCAGTAGTAGCAGTAGTATCAATATCTAAGTTACTTTTTTATTGTTATTTTATTTATTTATTTATTTATTTTTGGCAGGAACAGTAACACCAGAATGAGCAGTTTCGTACACTTCAACATTGTCGTTTTAGTTTTGCATTGTCAAAACAGACTATTCTCACTGGAGCATATTTTGGATAAGCAAAACCAGTGCATCCAAAACAAAAAGTAAATCATAAATATTATCATAAAAATTGAAAAAAGAAAGAAAAAATTTAACCAAACCTGCCTTCAAAAGCGGTTGAGAAGAACTGGAAAAATATAGTTATACAGATACATTTTGGACTTTGCGAGCTATCCAATATCACAGTTTTAGCTTCGCATTTAGATCTATTTATAGACAAATAGACTGCATTTGCTTGTTTTCCTAAATATCTGCTTTCTTCTTCTCTCTATCTCTCTTTTCAGGTTACACTAAAACTTTAAAAATCTATGAAAAATCTATGAAATTCACTTTATACTTCAAAAAATCTACTATTCGCGTATATCACTTTTTAAATATGACCGATTATGCCACATTAGTTTTACTTTAACATGTCGTACTGTGGAACATTTCACGCGACACAATAATATCTCCATAAGAACAAGCGGGTGGCCAGAAATGTTACACAGTACACTTTTAAAATCCAAAAACGCGCATTGGAACGTCGAAGGAAAATGAAAGAAAGTTAAGGATTTCACTGTTGTTTGGGCACAGCGTCAAAACTTGTGACGAATCGTTCAGTTGCGGTGTTTTGTCGCAATATATAACTCTAAAATTCTCAAAAATTTCAAACCTCATTATAGTATTAAGGGATAGACTTGATACTCAATACCGATACCGCAATGATAATTCAAAACACTCACGCTTTCTTTAGACAACAGAGTTTAAATTTCTGTTTTTGTTGACATATTAGATACAAAAGAATATGCAGAGTTGATTTTGTATATATTATTTGGTATTTGAGTAAATATTTGATTGAAAATTTGCCTAGAAATTACAATTTCGCCTCATTTTTTTTAACTAAAAATCAGACATGGAATTAAGATATATAAAAGTCCTTCTGTATGTTTTGTCAAACTCTTGATTGTAAAATTTGGTGTGTGTTGGTGGTATTTTAACGGCTGATCTTTATTCCCCTATGAGAAGAAAATGAAAACGCACTTTGAGAAACCAGCCGTTGAAGTTAAAGCGCCCCGTAAAACTCTATTGAGGCAACTTTCTTTAGACAAATAGAATGTAATTTCAATATTAAATCGTAGTACTTTCTTTTACCATGTGGTCTTATTTTTGTGTAATCCCTGAGTGGTCCAGGTATCCATAGTGATCCGTGGGCGTATAATAGTCTGTGTGGCCTTATACTTGTTCTGAAACAGCTCAAGATCATTTGAAAACTACTCAGGAACGTCCATTTCTGTCCTGTGAATGTAATTTTTTAGTATATTGATATTACTTTTGGTATTGATTATATCTGTTTTTCAACATCTATGAAATTTCAGTCTTCTCCTCTTCTTCTTTTTACCTTTGCTTCTGGCAAAACTTTTCCAAAACAAAAAAATATGTCTTAAAAACAAAATTTGCATAACCATCCTCCATCAATAACACTCCTATCTCTATGGGAGCGATAGCAGCGAGCAGTAGGGGAGTCCCTTTTGGCCGATTTTCCATGGGGCACCAGCGCGTCTTCGGCTCCTTTTTGAACTTGTTATAACCGAGCGGGGTGATTCTTTATCTGCTGACAGGTCCACAAAGCAGCGAGGATGGAGAAAACAGGTCCAAAGGAAGTGGCCATATGGACGTAAGCATGGAAATCTGCAACAATAAGTTTGAGGACGGGGCTAGCCGCTGTCCGTCATAACGTGTGTATACGCTGCATTCCACAACAAGACGAGATAAAGTGAAGATATGTGAGATAGTTTCAGAAATCTATACTTATCAAATTGCAACTTTTGTTTAAGTAAAAAAGGACATAGTTTGACCTTAAGCATTTTGCATTTTCAGTTCTAACAGAAAGAAGAAAGAAGAAAAGAGAAACATATTTTATCTCCATGGAGACAAAAAGAAGTGACACCACCAAACCAAGTTACACATCAGAGCAGTGGTGGAAGGTCATGAAGTACTAAAGTAAAAGTGCAATACTGAAGTACAAATTTTAGGTATCTGTAATTTGCTTGAGTA